AACGGGCTCTGGATAGGCGCAGTTCGAAAAATTCCATCATCGGGACGCTCGTCGCTTGATCCGGTGGATTCGGTTGAGGTGTGTAGGGTATTTCTCTATTTCATGTTGGACTGGGTTGGTTCGAAAGGGTAAGCGGTGCGTTGGCAGTTTAGATGTCACGAATCGGCTTAACCATTTCGAAATCGATAAGAAGTCTATAACAATCGAGGTGGCGTGAAACCCTAAAAAACGCTCTCCCTGGAAAGCGTACTTCTTCTTTCTCATGCTCGCTATCCGGGAAATCCGTGATTGTGATATTTTGTTGTGACAAGTCTTGAACAACGCGAAATCCACATATTCAGCGCAAAAACACTCTCAGATTCTCTGAAGACTTGAGTTAGCTGCCAGAACATATCTTTTGCGCCCAGCCCCAACGGCCATGATGAGGTCATGTCATCCGTCAGCGTCTTCCAGCTCAACAATGGCACATAATCTGAAGATAAGGTTCCTAAGGAACTGGTGTGATGTGTGTAGGGGTCTGCGGCGTACAACTGCGATCTCGTTGGGAAAACTCACAGAGAATTCTGGTCTAATGAGTAACGGCGAGTATGACCCTGGAAGACGGAAGCTCATGGCTCGCTGTGAACAGTGAAGCAGAACCTTGTTTCGTGTACAAAATCTCCGAACATTTTAAGGAATCTGTCTTATGAAAGCTTTATCAGTTGCATCCGTACGAATATGTATTCAATTTTGGATGCTCAGTCCACAGGAGTCCAGTAAACGCACAAGGCGTGCATGACTCCACCTTTTTCCAAGCTGGTACATCCGAATTCAGAGCCTGGAGGAAGAAGTTGCACCTGAACAATCTCTATGAGATAGAACTTGTGCATGTTTGAGATACCATCGCCTATAAAGTCCTTAATCATGTTATGAAATGAAGTTACGGCTCACATTGTGCTTTTGTGCGTCATTTCTCAAGCCAGCAACCAGAGCTCTTCTCACATTGGTGCTCAGTGGTGCGCCAGCCTTCATCGCCCTAAACGAGAGCAGCTGTATACAGTAACCAGGTGCGCGTGCGAGCGTAAACCAACTTTTCTCCTCTGAACTTGTAAGGTGCCGTAGAGTATCCTGGTTCCATCAGTTCACGACAAGCTTCATGTTGAAGAGACGGGTCCCATTTCTGAAGACGATGATTTGCTCTCAATAAAGAGTTCGGACATACTGTTGAGCATGCAAGCTAATGATGTATGTTCAAGATGATCATAGGTAAGCGTCATAGCGTTCCCTGTAGTGAGAGCATGCAATAAATTTTTTACAAAATCTGGGAACTCTGTGCAGAGTGTACAAGGATCTTAGTGTGTCGTCGCGGTCAATCGGGTCGACTTCCCGATTGTTTGGCTGTTCCCACCTGCGGCCATACCACTCAGGATACAGCATCGTGATGCTTGAAATGGTAGTATCAGGGCGACCCCCCCCCTTCCGGGAAAGATCCTGGTACGACCTCCCCTCCACCTAAATGAAGGTTTCGGGACGACCCCTCCCCCTTCCCCAACACCTACTTACCAATTTCCCATATGTTTCAGCTCCTCAACCAGAGTTTCGTCGACTGGGGGGGGGGGCATACAGCCAATGTTAAGCGGGAAAACTCTGGATTTCCTCCAACTCCCAACTACCACATTTGGTGGAACTTTGCAAAAGTTTTCATGCTTTTACCCGAATATTTCGCTTGACGAGCGGTAAAGTGTAGGGGAAGGGGTATATGTGGTATACACAAAACAGGAAAAACCACGCGAAAAGTGAAAAACCGGTGAAAATTTCCGAACTTTTTTCCCAACGCAGCAGATTTCTCGGCACGTAAGACCTCCCTTTCCCAACGACCAAATACGCGTCCCCCTCCTTCCCAGCGGAGAAGTACTACCCCCTTATGTGTTTCGCACAACGATGCTGTACCCTGATGCCACCACTGCTTGTTTTCTTCCTAGATCGGTCAATTGCCGACAACCATTGGTAAGCGAGGCAGCCGGAGGGCATATCCCGCTCTCGCCACACCACCTCCGACTGATTGCGGTGTTACAAACTGTATGATCTACTGGAAACCTACTAGGTTAGCATTGAGGTTCCGATGAAATTGTATATACAATTCACTCAATGGGTTGTAGGTGAGGTCGCATCTTGCTGAAAAATCAACAATTCCTTGAGTGAGCTTTGCTCTTAAAGAACACTAACGAAAGCTGGAATGGGGCTGAATATCTCAGTTACAGAAAGCTGAAAATGTTGTCATGTAAAAGCACTCACAATCAGCGCCAACGTTAATCGCGAGGAGGCACAGTGGTATGAGAGCGAACCACATGTTGGATCAGAATGAATTGTAGGTACCGTTCACTCCTTTTATACAACGATGTATATATGCTATGTAATACATTTCTATTCATTGATTGCTGGCTTCACACTTTTTGCAGTGCACTCCTGTCGAACTTTCTATTGATTCCTATCGGAAGCCAGCTTCATGCAGTTTCATTAAGAGTGTTCCACGTGAAATTTCAATAGGTTCGTGGTTCACGTGTCCAGCCTCCCAGAGATGCAAATCCGAAAAATTCATGGACGCAAGGGATACTACCTCATAACTTCTCGACCATGGAACTTTTTATGATCGTCTCGATGGTCGTTTACTGTCTCGAGCTGTCGCAAAGGATTCACGGAACCATTTGTTCCCCAAGACGAGCAATATTTCTAGGCAACTTCCGCTCGGAGACATTGAAAATTTTTTCGAAGCCGATTACAGTGTGAGAAAAAGTGTTGTGACACCGGATTCTTATTAAACCAAAGAATCACTGTCCTCTGCAACTCCTCATTTTTGGCTTGGTATTTCAACTTTGTCTTGAACTGTTCGCATCAGAAGACCAGTATTTCACCACAAGAACGTCCCACCATCGATAAAACTTACTCCTTACTATTTCTCTGGCTCAAAAGCAAAGCAGCAACAGTTCCGAGTTTCACGGGAAGAGAAGCTGGAATTTTTGCGTGGAAACACGATTTATGTATTGTTAGACTTTTCTCTGGCTGGCATAACTTGTATTCATTATTTAATTCGTTTTGTCGTTGTAACGTGTCACTGATTTCAGTAGGAACTATTTTTTCTGATTGATAATGTAAGCGTGTTTCAGCCGACGCCGAAGAAA